GGCCACTAAAGCTAAAAAAGGAAAAATAGAAAAAACCTTGAACATCATTTCCTACTTGAAATAATTGATAGATGATCACCAAACTTTGTTAGCAATTCTAAAGTAGTCTTTTATCAAGTTTGTTCATATTAATTTAATTAGCCCCGTTTAAGCTAAAGTTTAAATACCCCAGGTCATGGCATTTCTTCAAATTATTGTTTAAACATGCATTCTATGCTCAAATTTAATATTAGAATATATTGACATTTTAATACTGGAAAGCAGTTGTTTCTGGTGAGCGACTCAGGGCCATCATGGCCCTCTTGTTTATTTATTTATTTTATTTATTTATGCTCTGATCATGCTGTAATGAAAAAGCTTCTTTTGCTGTTATGATCCATGTGCTCAAATATTAAACAAAAATGGATTAAATAATTTGAGCTGTGTCACGACAAAACCAACATAGTGTGTTTGCGACCAGTATCAGGATCCATGCTGTCTGCTTACCAACCATTTTACAAGTAGAGAAACTGATATCGAACAGCACGGATCCTGATCAGACTGCGCGGATGCGCAGGCTGGTCTGGATCCATGCTGGTCGCAAACGCACTATGTTGGTTTTGTCGTGTCGTGGCTCATTTATCTTTTATAAAAATGAAACAACAAATCATAAGCATGAACAACAAAGACGTTATAACTTATAACATGCAACTTTGACACTATTATCAAGATTACAGCGCTTGCATTACATTAAATCGTATTCTTTTTTTTTTACAAAATGGCGGAACATCTTTATATAAGTGAAGACGTGAGGACAAATGTAGGGAAATGGGTTAACATCCTTGTTTAAAGACATAAATAACATTCGCATTGACCTTGTAGGTAAAAATGGTTTCCGATCAATAACTTGAGAATGCTTAGGTCTAGGAACTTTAAACTTGGTATGATGATTGGAAATGACCAGCAGATGGCCCCTATTGATTTTGGGGTCAAGGGGTCAAAGGTCAAGGTCACATTGACCTTGAAGGTAAAAACGGTTTCCGATCAATAACTAAAGAAGGCTTAGGCAAATGCACTTCAAACTTGGTAAGTTGATTGTTCATGACCAGCAGATGAACCCTATTGATTTAAGGGTCAAGGGGTCAAAGGTCACATTAACTTGAAGTTAAAATGGTTTCCACTCAATACCTAAAGGACGCTTAGGCCTAGGAACTTCAAACTTGGTATGATGCTTGTTCATGACCAGCAGATGAACCCTAATGATTTTTGGGTCAAAGGGTTAAAGGTCAAGGTCACATTGACCGTGCAAGTAAAAACAGTTTCCGATCAATAACTAAAGAAACCTTAGGCCTAGGAACTTCAACCTTGGTATGATGATGCAGATGGCCCCTATTGATTTTGGGGTCAAGGGGTCAAAGGTCAAGGTCACATTGACCTTGTAGGAAAAAACGGTTTCCGATCAATAACCAGAGAAGGCTTAGGCCTGGGAACTTCAAACTTGGTATGATGATTGTTCATGACCAGCAGATAAACCCTATTGATTTTGGGGTCAAGGGATTAAAGGTCACATTGACTTGAAGTTAAAAACGGTTTCCACTCAATACCTAAAGGACGCTTAGGCCTAGGAACTTCAAACTTGGTATGATGATTGTTCATGACAAGCAATTGTACCCTATTGATTTTGGGGTCAAGGGATCAAAGGTCATGGTCACATTGACCTTGTCAGTGAAAACAGTTTCCGCACAATAAATAAAGAAGGCTTTGGCCTGGGAACTTCAAACTGTATATGATGATTGGTCATGACCAATAGATAACCCAATAGATAAAGAAGGTTTCTGACCAATACCTCTACAACTCAAGTTGCCTTGGTTTATTTTTTTGTCTTATACTTAAAATGCTTTTGGTATACACATTTGAAGGTCTTATGTAATATATCAACTTCGCTGTCATTAATAAGGCCTACATGATTCATAAAATTTATGCATATATCATTTGGTATATAAATAACTTAAATTGCTGCACACAACCTATGGGGTCACAGTAATTATTACCTTGTGACTAGTCATGACCATTATATAACCCTTATTATTTTTTTGTTCACTGGGTCAGAAGTCATGCATAATAACCTGGTCACATGACTAATTGGCTGGTGATAGGGGGCATACATGTTTTACAAACATATCTTGTTATAGTAAGTGTTCTGTTTTGCCACTTGTTAATGATATAAATTGTCTAGAAATGCATCCAGCATCGGAATAGCATAAAAATCTAGAAAAATACGCACAATTTCAAATTTCAAATGCACACAATCATGCAAATATGGTTGTTTGTTAAAAACATATCATGGTTAATTATTTGAATGTACAATTGTTTATTTGTTTGATAAATCAGGAGTGGGATATTGTTTTGGCATTTCCGTCTGTCTGTCCTTCCGTCCATCCAAATTTATGGAAATCATTAATATCAAGATGGAGATGTGCATCTCTTCGGCTTGTTCCAGACAGACCTTTTTACTCAGATTTTGTTTCCTCGCTAGTTCTCTACAACTACTGGCTGGAATTCAACGAAACTTTATGGGAATCATCAATATCAAGCGGAGATGGGCATATCATTGCCTTGTACCGGTCAGACACTATCTCAAAGTTATGGCCCTTGATTTGTTATGCAGTATGCATATACATGTAGAACAATAATCGTTTCCGCGCTTCTTCTCTGCAACTACCGGTTGGAATTCAATGAAACTTGATGGGAACCTTCAATACCAACAGGAAATGGGCATAATTCGTCGCCTTGTTCCGGTTAGACACTTTAACTCAGAGTTATGACTCTTTATTACAGTAGTCATGCAGTATGCATATAGATAATTCTTGTCCAGCCTTCAAAGGTCAAACTTAACTGTCGGGATTTCAATCAAACCTTACACGAGTGATCAGTACCATCCCTAGTTGTGCACATCATCGGCAGGTTCTGCTTCACTGCAGAAAATGGCCACCAGAGCTAAAAATAGAAAAATATTGTCCGGCCTTCACATGTCAAACTACTGGTAGAATTTCAACTAAACTTTACAAATTGGCCGCAAGAGCTAGAAATAGATAATTCTTTTCCGGCCTTCAAAGGTCGAAATACTGTCGGGATTTCGATCAAAATTTACAGGAGTGATCAGTACCATTCCTAGTTGTGCATATCACAAGAAAAATCTTGTCTGGCCTTCACAGGTTAAACTACAGGTTGAATTTCAACCAAACTTTACAGGAGTGATCAGTAACATCCTTAATTATGCACATCACCAGCACGTTCCACTTTGCTGCACAAATTGTCTGCAAGAGCTAAAAATAGAAAAATCTTGTCCGGCCTTCACGGGTCAAACTACTGGTGGGAATTCAACAAAATATTACAGGAGTAATTAGTACCATTCCTAGTTGTGCACATCACTGTTACTTTCTGCTTTGCTGCACAAAATTGGCCGCCAGAGCTAAAAATAGATAATTCTTGTCCGGCCTTCACAGGTCAAACTACTGGTGGGATTTCAGCCAAACTTTACAGGAGTGATCAGTACCATCTCTAGTTGTGCACATCACCGGCCCATCCAGTTCGCTGCACAAAATGGCCACCAGAGCTAAAAATAGAAAAATCTTGTCCGGCCTTCACAGGTCAAACTACTGGTGGGATTTCAGCCAACTTTACAGGAATGATCAGTACCATCCCTAGTTGTGCACATCATTGTCATGTTCCGCTTTGCTACACAAATTGGCCGCTAGAGCTAAAAATAGAAAAATCTTGTCCAGTCTTTACAGGTCAAACTACTGGTGGGATTTCAACCAAACTTTACAGGAGTGATCAGTACCATCCCTAGGTTTGCATGTCATCAGCATGTTCTGCTTTTCTGCACATTATGACCGTCAGAGCTATAAATAGAAAATTCTTTTCTTGCTTTCACAGGTCAAGCTACAAGTAGGATTTCAATAACACTTCACATAAGTGACCATACATAGTTTATATTTATTCTGTCAGTATTGCTGTGTACTTCTATGGCCTTATTACGCAAACATGTACTTTTAAACAAAAGTAAGTTACAAAGAAAATGTCTATACATAAGAACGTTGGTCTGTCCACAGTCCTTGGTCCACTTAAACCCAGGATCCCATGATAATTAAAAAAAAGGTATTGAAAATATTTTTATGAAACTCTAAATATTGGTAATACAGGAGTCTGGAGATTATAAATGTCTTTATTTTCTTCATATGTTGAAAATTTGATTGCTTTAGCAACAAGCAGCCTTAAAATGTTGAAAATACCACATTATTGATAACTCAAAAAGTACTGAAAATACTATTTTTTATGAATTTTGAATTATGGCATTACAGCCCAAATATTTAAAAACCTTGTTAACACTTAAAAGGGTACATTTTCTTCATTAATATCGTGAGAAAGTTATTAGCATTCTAAAGTTCGAATTTGGTCATTTGGGGACAGTTAAATAAAGACCAAATTATAAAAAAAATCTTGTTAACATTTAAGCAGCATGCCTCCAGATTCATGATAGTTTTCATGAAAATTTTGAAAATATACTTTAAATTAAGATATTTTAAAGTAAACAAAGAAAGTAATCTATACTAACTTTGCAAACTACACGTTATTGCTCCCCACATTAATTACCGAAAAAGGTCATAAATTTCAAAATTAGCCTGTCCTGGGTTAGTCACGCAGTATAAATAGTGATTAATACCGCAAATTCAGTCATTAATCACACAAAACATTTAAAACTTAACTAGAATCCTTTATATTTTTACTTTTCTTAAAATCAGATACGTTTTTCCTCAAGTTTGATATAACAAATATTTGGCCCATCTGGAGGCATGCGGCTATTCAGATGACGATATGAACTTTGTGAGATCATTTTAAGATGTATATCTTATTAACCTGGTATTTTGGACTTGAAATTATAACCCAAGACCGTACGTACTTATTAAATTTATATAAAATTTTAACATAAATTATTTTGTGTTTTTTTGTTTGTTTAGATATTGATAGAGTATCGGGATGGCACATCAACTTCAGTTAGGGAAGGAAAAGTACAGACAGTGGGTAAAGGCTGGTTTAGGACTTGGATATTTAAAGGAGGGACTGGTACCATTCTGTACTGATATAGCTGACCAACAACATAAGGATATCTTACAAAACATTCGGTCTAGAAAGTCACTACCATCAACTGTGACGTGTGGCAGCTGTCAAGTTGAAACTCTCAAACCAGACCATAAGCCATTAGGGAATGCTAAAAACAGAGTTTGTCCTCTTGGGCAAGTAAAATGCAGCTGTTGCTTTAAGGGAAAAATAACTTGTCCGAACAACATATGTGGCGCCATCTATGATTTTATTGTGAAGCATCATTCATCCTCACCACCTACACCAAACTGGAAAAACAGCGATGCTCAACAGTGGTTTACAGACCCTTGGAGCATTTGTAAGTGTTTTATAAATGCTACAGGGTACGAGCAGAAACAATCTGCTGGTGAAACTGATTGTCCTGGGCTATTACATCTAATGATAAATAACCAGTATTTTCATAGCCACATTGGATGCAATGTCACAGGAACAAACAACCTTTTTTCAAAGGTAAATCATTTATAAAATATGTTTTACTTATCTTTATCAGCTCTATTGTAATGTTATAATAATTGTATAATTTAGTAAGTAAACGAGAAAATGTAAATTTTACTATGAAGGTAATGAAGTAATTCACCACTTTAAAGATTCACAACAAATGTATAAAAATCCACTAATCGTTTTTATTACAAAATTTGTTGTAACAATTCACAAGGCTTGTGGTTAATATTTACTGTAAACATGTACAATTGTAGATTTGTATATAGAACTATTTGTGTACAGGCCTATTTTCCCCTATCCCATGGGTCCATTCCCAATGCAAACTTTGTCTTCTTTTTCCCAATCCCAAAAAATCCATATCCCGAAGTCGGTGATTTGAAAAGAGGTACACATTTTTTTTTGTATTTGGTGTGGAAGTTCTTGATCATGTTTCGGATATCTTTTAAATCCTTATCAGTTTCAGTAATAATATTTTATTTAGCTTTGTTTGAAGAGTTTGCACATCTTATATGCTGGCGTATTTTTTCCCAAATAATAAATTTCACAACTAAGTCTTAGACACAATTTCCAATAAATAAATACATGTAAGAAAAAAGGCCTGGTATAATTTATGATTGTGTCTTTTATGAAGGTATTTACCTAAACAAGTTTCAAACATATATATATATATATATATATATATATATATATATATATATATATATATATATATGCATAGAACAATATTGAACCTGTGTTTTCTATTCAATAGGTACGTCAGTATAGAAATACAATTTTCCATTCAAGCAGTATGGAATTGGACGAAAGTGAGGCAAATACATACTTAGATGATATGATAGCAGTTTTACAAGATGGTAAGGAGCTATTACAACGATCAGATGCCCAGATAGCGGTGAAGAAACTTCAAGATGTAAGTGTAAATAATGAATTATGTCAGTTTGAAATCTTTATTGAGTCGACTTATAATGATTTAAGAAAACAGCCCACTAAATTCACGACATAATTTTGGAAACAGAATTTAAAGCAATATGATATTGAAGTAATAGTCAAATTCAAAACGATACTTCCAATAAGTTGATTGATAAAGTCACATAAGATACATATATACCTATCAAAAGTTAAACTATAATGAAAAAAGATTTTAGTTTGCAAGTGCAGTGAAACTTACGAAATCCAAAAACTTTGAAATCCAAACAATGTTCAGGGTCCCGAAATTTGTATAATTTTTACCTCTGAAATTGAGGACTTCTGAATCCCACATATATCTTGACTCCTATTAGAACCTCAACATGTCATGCATGTCCAACCCTTAAGTGTGAAATTAAGAAAGTGAGAAGTATAAGAATTCTGAAAACTTCTAAAACTCTTCATTTTTGGGCTAATCTCATAAGATACAATGTACACTTAAAAAAATTAGAAAAAGTGAGAAAATAGTAATGTCTGAGAATCAAATAATTACATAGGTAAGTGTATACTGCCTTAAAAGCGGATTTAAGAAAAAAAGTATGAGAGTTTAAATAATAAAACAATTGGGATAATTTGAAATGAAGTTTGACCTGATATATAATATAGAAGAGTAAATATCAATAATTACTTAGCTACATTTTTATGAAAGAAAATATTAACAAAACTGATTTCTTTTCATTAGCTGAAGAAGAAAGATTTCATTATTACCACTGAAGGCTTTGAAGAAATCCTGAGAGAAATTAAGGAAGAG